GAATAATAAAAATATGATCTATAATGATATAACATTAGAATTGAGAGAGATTAGTAAACACTAGTTCGTTGGTTGCAACCTTCAAAATTGGCGAGTGAAGTAGCCTGCGTCGTGCATATGAATCAGTGAACATGGAGTGGACAAGCTTGCGGCGGCAAGGGCACGGGACCTTGAAAACGACCTATTGGTGGGCTTTTAAATGGACCCCTTTTTTCTTTTACTCTTTCTAGAGGTTCACACATTAAAATAGGGGGCCAAGTAGGCGACCCTATTTGGCGTGTAGGGGACCTCCTATATGCCGCTCTTTGCGGCAAATAGTCGACCAATCACATAGAGGGCAGTCCACTTGGGCTGCACAGCAAAGTGAGGGTGTAAAAAAATCAGAAAAATGGTGCATGGTCATCAGGATTCGAACCTGTGACTGTCCGCTGTTGTGCACCAAAGAAAGCCAGTACAACTGAAGTGGTCTTGTGGTACATGTGCAGTGGGAAACTTAAAGAACTATGAAAATATCAAACTTAACACCTCTTAAAAAAAATCACGAGCAACCTTTTAAAAGCAAAAGGAATTTTTGAAATTCGCACTTATTATGAAAACGTGAACATTTTTGAACTAGTGAAAACAATTTGAAAACAGGAACTAATTTTTGGCAGAAACAAATTTTGTAAAGCACGAACATATTTTTTATTTTAAAAACAAAATTTTAAAATCCCAAAAAATTGGAATTGTGAACATTGTTTGAATACGTGAACAAATGTTTGAAAACCAGAACATTTTTTGAAACTTTGAATATTTTTTTTGCAAAACACAAACAAATTTTGAACCTTCGAATTTTTTAATATAATCCAAACGCTTTTTGCAATGCAAACTATTTTTGAATATTTTAAACATTTTTTGAATTTGAGAACAAAATTTGAAAACTAGATCAAAATTTTGACAGAAGCAATTTTTAAAAGCACAAACAGTTTTTGAATTTGAAGAACAAATTTTAAAACAAAGAATGGTTTTGAAAATATCAAACAACTTTGGAAATGTGAACATATTTCAAATACGTGAATACTCTTTTTGAAAACCAAAAGCTATGATCAATTTTTGAAACATGAACATTTTTTGAAATTGTGAACAAATTTTGAATACATGATCATTTCTTGAAATTCCAAACATTATTTGAAAATTTCGAACAAAAAGAACATGAAAGAAAATAAAAAAAACGAAAAAGAAACAGAAGCATAAAAAACCAAAAGAAACAGAGAAAAAAGAAAAGGAAAAAAATGAAAAATACAAAAACCAGTCCAGAAACCTTCTAGATGGTTCGCAAAACCTATAAAAGACAGCTGGGAACACTATGGAAGCCAAATCGCCAGGCGCCGGTTATAGCTGTTTCAGCAAACCGGCGCCTGCAGCCGCGTTAAATGGGTCTGGCCCATCTTTTTCCTTTCCTTTCTGTCGTCAAAAAGGCGCCCTTTGGATGGGAATCGATCCCGCAACCTCACGGTTGTTCGCCTTATGCACTAACCACCATACTAACACGTATTAATTGACCAAACTAGTGCTTCTTCACCTTTTCTTCTTACAACGATTCCTTTTTCTTCTTTTCGGAACGGTTTAATATTTCTTTTGGTAATTTGAAAGAACTATTTTTCAAAATCGGTGAACTTTCTTTCACAATCGATGAACTCTTCTTCAAGATTGATGAACTTTTTTCTAAATCGATGAACTTTTTTTTTAAAATTGATGAACTCTTTTTCAAAACCGATGAACTCTTTTCACAATCCATGAACTTTTTTTTTCAAAATGGATGAACTCTTTTTCTAAATTGATGAACTGTTTTTCAAAACCGATCAACTTTTTTCAAAATCAATGAACTATTTTTCAAAATTGATGAACTTTTTTTCAAAATTGATGAACTCTTTTTCAAAATCTATGAACTTTTTTCAATTTTTGTGAACCTTTTTTAAATTCGGTGAACTTATTTCAAAATTGTGAACTCTTTCCCAATTTGATGAACTTTCTCCAATTTTTGTGAACATTTTTCCAAATTTGATGATTTAAAAAAATGGATGAAGGTTTCCAAATCTATGAACTTTTTTGAAATCTCAATTTTTTCCCTTTTTTTTGTGATTTTTTTCGTTTTCTGTTTTCATCTTTTTTCTAAAGTCAACGGTTGACCAGTCACATGGGCCGGCCCACGATTCGGCGGCTGTGAGCGCCAGTTTTCTTAGCTGGCGCCCGAAGCGCCAACTAGGAGCTCCCATGTGTGCGATTGATCGACTGTTTGATGGAAAATGCGTGAAATAGGGATTTCCAGTGCGTAGGTAGCACATGAGCCAGTGTTTTGGGTGGCCCATTGAGGGTTTACTAGCACATATGCCCGTGCATTCCAACGGGGAAAATTGATGTTTTGCACAAGCATAATGTCCCACAGCATCGGATTCATTATGAAGAACATGTTGCAACGCAGCATCGTCCTTCTACAAAATAAACATAAAAAAATACGTCGCAATTTAGTCGTGTTCATATTTTCTTTGCGGGGCGTAATGTCCCACTGATTTAGCCACGTTCGTTTAAATATTATATTTAAGCCCACAATCCTTCCTTTATTAGCTCATTCTCTTAATTAGCTCTCCCTAAACATGAGCCTTGGACCTCACCCTTCTCCATCTACAGGGACGAAGGGTGATTTGTGCGAACCCCGGGCTCTCCACCTCGCCGTTGCCGAATCGGCGGCTCCCTCGCCCTCTGCCGGACGCTCCGGCGGCCGGAGGACGGGGGAGGCCCGATTTGCAGCGTGTACATAGTGTAGGAGTACCTAGGGAGCCAGCCGGTGGCGTCGTGGAGGCGGCGGTGTGACTGGATCGGCCTTTTGCAGGTGTTGGTGTCCCTTCGACGACGAAGTTCCGGTGGAGCTCCGCGGTGGACCAACTTCTTTCTTCGTGCTCGCTGCTCGGTGGAGAGGCCGTGCACGGTTGCCCCATGCCAGAGATCGAGTGATGGCGATTCCGGCGGTTGAAGATCTGGAGAAGGAAGGCGATGTTGAGTGGTGCGACGACGACGACGCCCATGAGTGTAGGTCCTCAGGGACCGTTGATCGGAGACTTCCCGTTTCTCCCGGGGGCTGCTTCGATCCAAGGCGTCAGCGAGCAGCGGCGAACGGCGCGTCACCGGCTCGTACACGGCGCCGGCGTAGTCGGGTTGCAGAGGGGCTTGGTTGTAATTTCCTTTTCTGTGTGGACCTTTCAGTAATTTGGCCATTATAATATCAACTCTTTTTCTCGCAAAATAAATAAATAAACATGATGACTGCTACTCGTATATTTAGAGTGAGTTGGGATTAGTAAATATGAAAGGTGCATAAGTTTTGGTTGTTACATCTAAGAGATAGACAGGAGGTCTTGTGTTCAATTCTCACAATGTTGATTTATTTTGACCCAACTATTTTTCGCGGTCTCTCTATGAAAGCTCATAAAAGGCCTATCAACATGCAAATAACTGGCCCAGATCATTTAATGTGTGTAAACCAAATGTAAAGGACTAAACCAAACCAAGAATACCTATTCCCTTTAATAGTAGGTATAGATTTCCAACCGGGATGGGATGGTTCTAGAACATTTCTTGAACTATTTTTCAATCTTTTCTTCCAGTTCTTTTCGTTCTTTTCCTTTTCCTTTTTGTTTCTCTTCCGCTTTTTGGTCTATCTTTTCTTTTCCTTCTTTGCTTGCTATTTTCTTTCCTTTTTCTTATTATCTTCCATTTTTGCGATCAACTTTAAAATATTTGAATATTTTTTTTCAAATCATGAACATTTTTTAAATTCCTGAACATTGTTTATAAATTAATGAATATTGTCTGAAATCTTAAACTCTTTTCAAATTCATGAACATTATTGAAATTGTGAACTTTTTTGGAACTCAATTTTTTTAAAAAAAAATTGGGAACAATGTTTTTAATTCACAAACATTTTTCGAATCAGAGAACATTTTTTAAACAGATGATTTTTTCAAAAGAAATTGGATCAATTCTTGAAACCGCGATTTTTATGTTTTTTGTGATTTTAAAAAGTCGTGAATTTTAATTATTCATGATATTTTTCTCAAATTCATGAACATTTTCTGTATAGGCGAGCATTTTTTAATATGCAATTATTATTTTTCCAAATCACGAGCACTTTTCAAAATCATGAGCATTTTTTTCTTAAGTTACCACAATTTTATGATTTGTTGAGAATTGTTTTCTAAATTATTCATTATTTAGAAATTTGAAATTTTTTGGAATCCCGAATTATTTTAAGAAAAAAAGAAAAATAAACAGGGGGCCTACCGCGTCGCGCATGGGCCGATCTAACTAGGCGCCCGCGTCCTCCTCGGGCACGCAGGTCGCCAAATAGGACCTCCCGGCCGAGAAACAAAAAGGCCGAGTAGTACTTTTTTTTGAAACTCACATCATTACTTTATTTAAAGCTCCCAGCTAGGAATTTCGTCTGATACAACCTGCAAAATGCAGTCTGGTGGTTCTTGTAACCAAACCTTACAAACGTTATTTGCCGCTCCATGCCTAGCTAACCGATGTGCAGCAACGTTAGCAAATCGGCTAGCCCATGTGATCTTCCAGCGTTCTCTTGAACCCAGGATCTGCTTAACCTCCTCTATGATCGGTCCCAGCTCAGATAGATCCTTCTCCTTGTTCCTCAGCTTGCAAACAATCTCCGTCCATTTCAATGTGAAGGTTTTGTATATTGAGCTCTGCTGCGAGTTGTGCTGCTCTTCTACATGCATATAGTTCTGCTCTTGCCGGGTCCTTGCATCTAGGGTAAGCATGGCACGATCCTCCCAAGAAAGCCCCCTCCTGATTCCTGAACACCACTCCAGCGCCTCCCATCTCCCCTACCTTGGACAGAGCACCATCCACGTTTGCCTTAATCCGAGTAGTACTTGTATACGTGAATCAATCGTTAACTTACTAGGTTTAACTCAAAAAAAAAAAAACTTACTAGTAGGCATATAATGAGGTATTCACCCCCTTGTTCTCCTCACCAGCCCCCGTTCCCCTCCCTCGCCTACTCCAATCGCCCTGATCTGGATCGGGGTGTTACAACCTGCGGCGGCGGAGTAGGTAGGATGCCGAAGCGAGCGGCCTCCCGAGCGCCGATCCGCTGCCGTCGACGGAAGCGTCCGAGATTACCTCACGATCCGTCTCGCCCCGCGTTCGAGGCGCAGATCCGATCTCGGGGAATCAAGCGAAAGAGCGATGTGGTTGAAGCTTGCTCCTCAACCGCTCAGACGAACACTTGTTGGGGATCAAAGCGCGTGCGCACCGCCCTCAGTTCTACTACTACGCCTGCGCTCTCCGTCCGCTCCCTAACCCCCTACCCCAAGTGGTGGTGGCGGAGCTTACATCTGCTGTTATTATTCTCCAGTCCAAAGGCGCTTTCCGGCCTTGACAGGCGCGTCCATCTAGCAGTTGATTTTGGTCGAGATTACTGTTGGAATCACACCCGTTTATTCGGATCTCAATCTGATTCATTCAGTAGCTGGGGAAGGAGGGACTGGCCGAACATTGGCGGGGACGGGCCGGCCGGCCTGATTGCGGAGCTCGTCCTCGCCAACGACGTGGCCGACTACATCCGCTTCCGCGCTGTGTGCCCGCCGTGGCGCCGGTCCTCGCTGGACCCACGCTTGGTAGGTGGCCTGGATGGCCGCTTTCTCCCCCGGCGTTGGATCATGCTTGACAAGGCCATCGCTACCAGTCCCTGCTGTTACGGGCTGTTCAATATCTCCACCGGTGAGTGCATTAAGACGGACCTCCCGGAGCTTGCGGAGCACAAGTTGCTCGCGCTCATCCCCGAGGGTCTCCTCCTGCTGCTCCACGAGCCCCACCCTCCTTGCCCGTCTTCTTAACCCGCTCACACGCCAGCTCACCGACCTCCCGCCGGTGACCGCGCTGCTGACGCCGGAGCAGCAGCGAGTTTGGCGCTCAGGTGTTGGGTTAGGAGACACCATCTGGGTGTGTGGTGCTGGTCTTGCCGACGCCTCCATAGTGGTTGTCTGTTTTCGTCGCCCTAAGGTGACAGCCATCGCTAAACCTGGCGATGAATGCTGGACTGTTGTCGACAACAGATACATTGATTCTACTTTGCCCTTCGCAGGGCGTTTCTACTGCACCGTGGGCAGAAGTGTCATGGTGTTGAACAACTGCCTCAGAACAGAAACTGGTGACCGCTGTTCAGCAGAGCAAGCTGCTTAAATTTGACCAAATGTCTGGCAGCCTTCACCTTGTCGACAATGGTGGGGAGCTGATGCTGGTGCACAGAATGCTGCGCCCAAGCAATGATATGCAAGGTGCAGAATACAAGATGGAGCACGAGGTTTACAGGGTGGATTTGAATGCCAGGGAGTTGGTCCTGGTCAAGGGCTTGGGTGGGCGGGCCGTGTTCATTGGCAGGCGCCGTGCCATCTCTATACCTGCAGAGGCGTTTCCGTCCATCTCAGCCGATACTCTCTACTTGGGTTTTGATTGCCATGAAAAGACCACGATGAACCAAATTGATGGATACAATGTTAAGGATGGAAGCAGTGAGCCACACTTTGATACGGTGCACCCGTATAGCTTGGTCGACTGCCTCTCGCGCTGCATCCAAGGCATCGGTGAGCATGTAGCCTGAGCTCATTGATCCATGGTTGTTTGGTACAATAATCTGAACCTTATCTTTACTGATCTGTAGTCTCGTGCCATGGAACGGTCTGTACCCCAAATAATAATTTATGAATCATTGATGCGCTTACGCGCTTACTTATATTTGCCATCACATTTTATTGTGTATACTGCTGTACTTGCCTTAATTATATATGTTGCAACGCACGTTGTTCTCAACTAACAAACTACATTAGCCATAATAATTTCTGACCGAGTATAGGATAACATGATAATATATTTAGAAATTTCAAAGTTCCATGCAAAGTTCTAATTCCTGACCTCAATGAATGATTGGAATAATAATTTTCATTAATCAAAACGCCTTGTGTATCCAAATTCTTATATTTTTGACATATGTTGCCAAAATGCACATTTTCCCCAATGTAAGATGCAGCAAACAGTTATAATACAATTAAGTATTATTACAATCTAGTGTCGTTCACAAAAAGTGACAATTGGCCATCGTGATTTCTAAAAAGGAAGTCGTTCTCAGAATGCTGCAAACTCTAGTAGGACTGAAAGATTGGCTGTTCCCTAGTGTTGTGCTTGTCTGAAAGCACAAAAAGTGACCTTGATTGTGAACATAAATAATTCAGCAAATAAAAACTACAGTGATAAATTGCATAACTATTCTTAGTATTCACTGAACGAAAACATGAATATACAAACTTGTACCACTAACTTAAGTACTTGATGCATTTCTCAAAAGCTGCAAGAATATGACAAATATCCCTCTTCCCCCTATGTATTGTTACCACATTCACAAACAGTATGTCTTTTACTTTTTTCAAACATGACCGCCTAATAATCAGCAGGTTTGATTGCCACTGCCCACTGCTCGCCTTTACATATTTTCACTCTAGACATGCATTATTTTCAGTCACAGATGATTAGATGAAAGCAATTGCTAAGCCAGCCTTATGAACCATAAACGAAGCAATCAAATATACGATATTCCAACTTAGCAGAAAGGAACTCAAACTCAACTGTTAGATGGTTTTTTGAAGTCCTCTATGTATTCTACTTTAATAAAAAATGCAAAAAATATTAAAGTATTCTACTTTAATAAAGATGCACTTACATGAAAAAACATTATATGAGCATCTGGGAAGCAGCAAACATGATGCAACTTCATATTTGGGATGGACAAAACTCCCACAAGAGCAGTCATACTTGCCGTTACATGCTTAGTGCTGCGGGTAGCAACCCTTTTCGTTCCTCCTATGGCGAGGAACTAGTGCATAGCCATCAATACTTTCCTGTGCTAACCTCATTCCAGATTGAATCACAAGAGCAATAAGCATCTGCTTGACTTGTACAGTACTGCAGTGTAAACTATGTCACCTCATTCTTGATTCGCTCAGAATGAGACAATGAAGTGCAGATTTGAACAAATCAGACTATCAAAATGGTTTAAGATGCAAGGTTCATGACTTCCACAAAAATAGTTCTTTTGGGATTGTAAGATGCATAGCTCTAATTCGAAAAATTTACAGAGGGTATTTTTTGACTCCATTGACATCAAAGACAGTACAAACTCTTGTTGTAAATGTATCCGTTTTTTCATAACATTCAGAAACAACATTTTTAAGTTGCTAGAAAATATAAACCGAGCTGAAATACCACATAACTTAGGCTGCATCAGGGACAACATTCTGTCTGCATCATGGACCAAGGATATAAGAAAGAGGGACTCTTTACTGCAAATAGGTGGAGCCACACACCAAGCACACGGTGGACTGGTTTAGTTCCTGCCAAGGTTTTTGAGTCGATGAGTCGGCGAGTCGCTCAGGGGGGGGGCGACTCTAGACTAGTCGTGACTAGTCGTGACTCATGGTCGACGAGTCGACATGCGATGAGTCGACGTGAGTTAAGTAGTAGGGAGCAGACCAGCGGCAACTAAGGGGGGAGCCGCAGCAGCAAGAGATGGGAGGGGCAGACCTGCAGTAGCAGCAACCAAGGGATGAGCAGCAGCAACCAGGGGAGAAGGGGACGAGCAGCCAGCCAGCGGCAGCGGCTGCTGCAGAAGAGAGCTGGGTCGGGGGAGGGGAGTGGAACTGTTCGATCTAGGTTTCCAGACGCTCCAATCTTCCTTCAATATTGGCCCAGAAGCAATATTAGCCCAATAAGGCCCAATGAAACCCTAGCCTGCCTAGCTCAATCTGAACCATCTATATTCTCTAATCTTCACCGTCCATCCACTCTCTTCTTTCTCTCTCTCTCTCACCTGCTCCCCTTCCAGCCTCCAGGAACGAATTGACAGCCGCAATGGCCTTGCTGCAGCTCCTCTTCCATGGCTTCTCTGCCTTCGCCCCTTCCTCTCCGCCTCCCCCATCCTTCTCTGCTCCGTTTTCTACGCCCAACTCCTCTTCCATCACAGGTTGATCGAGTCGTTCGACTCAAAAACCGCGACTAGTCGAGACTAGTCGGGACTAGTCGATCAAGTCGCTCGACTCATCCAATGATTCGAGTCGACAGGTTGAGTCAACCTTCATGTAACGACTCGTCGACTAGTCGACGACTAGTCGCGACTAGTCGTTCAACTCGAAATCCATGGTTCCTGCCCACAGAGCAATTTGGTTTTGCATACGACATTATCAGCGAAATGCATATGCATCAGCATAGGAAGAATAAAGCACATAGAGAAAATGCCAGGTACTAACATATGATTAGTCTTGCATTTCAAGAGGACACAACCTAATCATTAAAGAAAAGAGTTAGCACAGCCTGAAATCTTTTTGCAGTTGCTTTTGAATGCACAAAAAGCAGAGCGGCCCTGGCAATGGCGCCAAAGACTACTACATAGATGCTGCAGCATGAGTTGAAATTGAACTCTTTTTTTATTTGGTCATCTATCTATCTTGCAAAGGCAAGTGTGTTGTCATGTAAACTGTACTCTTATATATGCTGAAAAATTTACAAACATGAAGAAAGGGCAATGTGGTCGTGTCTCCGTCCATCAGTTAATGTATTCACTGAAGAATTTACCAATACGCAAACATGCATCATGCATCTATCTGGTCATTGGTAATAGACACAACATACAGATACACACCAGCAGAACTGTACAAGGCATGTAGCAAAGGCATCTTCAGTGCGTGGGCTGTATAAGGATGGCTCTCCCTGTTTTTCACTGAGAAATGAATCTGTTTAACTGTGATATACGAATTGCCATGATACGAACCTACCGATATTTATAAAAGCATGTACTGAATTTTGTAGATGAAGAGAATGGAAGGTACCTCACAGGAAAGAAAAGGCTGGGATCACGAATTGGTAAATGGAAGAACCTCCATTGGACACTCTGCAAATCCTTGTCTGAGTGAGAGGATCAGAATTAGAGATGGTGAATATGACTCAAACTGGCCGATGCTTGCATGTAGCTATCAGATCTTCATTCGACAAGAAACTTCTCTACCTTGTAGCTCAGCTTGATGAATATTTGAGATTTCTATGTTAAATTGGGTAACCTGTTTGACATACACAGTGAACATGATGTCCCGTAAAAATGTTTCCTATTCAGAATCGCTAAGGGTCCATGTAGGTGTCACGACAAGGGGTGGTGAAAAGTTTAGTCCCATCTCGTTAGTAAAGGAGTTGGACCTTCTTATAAAGGATTCTCTTCCACGTGCTATTGGAGCTTAAGAGAAGTGGCCCTCGCGCATTCCTCCGCTGCCGTCCGCCTCGTCACGCCGCGGGTTGCGGGATTGAGCCGAGCTCATACCTATGCGCTTATTTTTGCCGGCCAGGAACGGAGAGTCCGTAACAGAGCGTCACGTATCCAAGACGTCGGATCGTGGGCTCTTGCTGACTCGGACGTGGGTCCAGCCCACGTCTCTCCACCCGGACGCGCATATATATGTGAGGCGTTGGCCAACCCTAGCCGCCACGAACAAATCACATCTGCTCCACGTGCACCGCCCTTGTCGTTCCCTTTGTTGTTGCTGCCGCCGGCGACTCCATCGCGTTCACCGCGTACACGGTTGACAGGAGAGCAGGCCTCCTGTCGGGGATATACCCCGCGGTATGACCCGGCCAGAGTTATAACCCGGCTCGGACTTGGCGCTTCACCGGTAACCCGCCGGAGGACTGGCGACTCACGAGTCTGGCGGCTCACTGGTCTGACGACTCACGAGCTTGGCGACTCACTGATGACCCAGCTGGGCCTGGTGACTCATTGGTGATCCGGCGGGTGTTTCAGATG